GATGGGCGGCCCCCTCCCGTTGTAGCCTCCTCCGTTGGAAGCCAGTGTTCTTCTCGCAACGGCGCCATGGGATGGTGCCGACCACTGGGAGGAGTTGGAGCTAGATGTAGCCATGGAGCAGTTAGGGTTCAAAATGTTGCACACTCTGAGTGAAGAGGTCGGCTCAGGTCTTTTGTCTACACTTTTGCCTCCCGCCAAGGCACCAAAACGTCCTTCAAAACCCTCGCACTCCTGCCAAGATGAAATGCTATGTCACCGGCGATTCAGGGTACTATCTGCCTGTAGAAGAAGGCCTATTTTGGATCCTCTGTGCTTACATAGAGGTGTACACGTGGACCACAATCAAGACCAACTGATTCAATTAACAGTTCAACCAAAGTAATAGTTCAACGATTATGCAGTACTCATACATACTAATCCAGAGGTTTCATCAGTACATATAAACTTCATTAACATAAAAGTTTCACAAATTCTAAGACTTATATCGGATGGGTAGGCAGTTGCTAAGGTACTCAATTGGTTGATGCGGTCCCGAAAGCTAGAGATAGTGAACCATAGCGAAGATGACAACATCTCTGTCCATGGACACATTATATCTATAAAGTATGTCTACTTCTTGTGTAGTTCTACAAAGCACAAAAATCTCTCCACAAACAGGGTCTTGAATGATTCTTGTCAAATTTTGTGGTCTGAGAAGGTGACAAACAATGACTTCAACAATCAATAGTCGGTCTAGGTGAATGCTCCATCCGCAAATAGCAAACAACATCATCTAGGGTCCTAGTGCCACCCCTAGCCACCAAAACGCAAGGTTGCTCGCATTAAAATGGCTTCTTTCGAAGTAAGACATCTATTACAATGAAAAATTCCTAATATGAACAAAACTGATATCAAACCCAAAACCAATTGGAACAAAATGCTAACAAGGGGGGGTGACCGAATCCATCTAACCTTCATAGGGCGCGAAGTAAGACATCTATTGCAATGAAGAAATTCCTAATATGAACAAAACTGATACCGAGCCCAAAACCAATTGAAACAAAATGCTAACAAGGGGGGTGACCGAATCCATCTAACCTTCACAGGGCGCGAAGTAAGACATCTATTGCAATAAAGAAATTTTTAATATGAACAAAACTAATACCGGACCCAAAACCAATTGGAACCAAATGCTAACAGGGGGTTTGACCGAATCCATCTAACCTTTACGGAGCATTGTCCACTACGACAATGCAAGGTGCTTGAGGCAGGGCAAGTACAGGCGACAGGTCAAAATGAAGATGAAGCAACGGGTGTAGAGAATGAGGATGAAGCAACAACGAGTGAGGAGAACTAATGGATTCGTATTGGGGATTTTTAGTTGGTCGAACCGCCGCCAAGGCATCGACAGGACCCGAGCGAGTTGAGAATGGGCCGGGCGCTTCTAGGTTTGTTGTCAAGCGGACGGTCTAGATTGATCGGCAGCGAGAACGGGCGGCACGAGATAAGTTAAACAGTGTTCGTATTAAGCCGACCATTGCCACACTAATCCAACGCTATAATATGGCGATTGTCAGCGATTAAACTACTTTTAGATTCTCCTAGAAACAACCGCAACCATACATGATAGTTTTTTCCCTTTTCATTTACAAATATACTGAAAAACAAAAAAACATTCATCGAGAGATCAAATTCGTGCACTGGCATTTTGGAAGTAGTATTGGAAACAACTTGCTTTGCATTTCATATAAAAAAGGTGGCATTGAAGAGATCAAATCTACGCGAATAGAATTGATTTCATTATGTATATGTAACATATAGATACAATTTGGATGAGTATAGGATTGTACTCGTCCGGAAGCATAATAACTAACATAAACTATTAAACCTACTTATACTAACAATAAAGTACTTAATCTAAACATATGATCGCCTCGCTCGCTTGGGAGGAGGCGAGGCAAAGTCGGAGTCGGAGTCGGAGTCGTCGTCGGCGTCTTCGGCGTCGTCATCGGCGTCATCCTCGTCCTCGTCCTTCTCCTCTGGGTCCTCCTTCTCGGAGCTCCACGGAGGACTATAATTAGAAGACCTCCAGTTGTCGGAGGAGACATCCTCCTCGAAGGACTGGTGGGCTGGCAAGTCATCCTCGTTGGATGACGGGTTGCTTGGAAACTTGATGGGGTCGTCTGACATTTTCTTTGTAGATTGGAAGAGAAGGGAATGATGGATGAAGAAGAGGGGTGGTTTTAGAGGGCACCGGGCTTGAAGTAGTATGCAGAGCAGTGGGTACGACTCTTAGGCTTCAAACGGCGGAAGTAATGGTGGTTTGACGTCCTTGAAAGTCGAGGCAATTCAACACTTACGTTGAATTTACCGCCGCTTGACCAAACGCTAGTTTAGGGCCGGCGGACAAAATGCGTATGCCAATTGGACCAACTTTTCATGCGACGGAACAAATGCAACCCCAATACCACTACCGCATCTAACGTTAACCCGTCAGTGGTAAAAGTCTGAACTACCGGTTTCATTCCCAGGCCTCGCTATCGTTTCAACCGATGGTGGAAGTATCACACAATCGCTTCTATCGCTACGAAAGTGAAAGTGACGATAGTGATAGATCAATCTGTAGTAGTGAATGTTTCATATATGTTGCAAGTGTTTTATCTGACTGTTGCAAAAATAGATCGAGGTTGCAGGCCCCACCTACCGTAGCCACCTACTACCGTTGCTAGGGCGTCGCCGTTTGTCACCGTGTGGGCACCTGAGGCCAGCAGAAGCATCCGCGCGCGTGGCATCCACAGGTAGGGACAGGCGGGACCCATGTGGTGGGGCACGTGAAAACATGCGGCGCGGCCTCCTGTGCGAAGGACCGGAGGTGTCCGGTATTTTGGAGCAGCTCCGGACATCCGGACGCTGGTAACGCCCGAAAGGGCCAGAAAATAGTAGCTACAACCAAGCCAAATGACGGTGTGAGTCAGAACGATTATTTAATTCGGATGAAGGAGACATTCATGACGCAAAAACTGTTGTATGGCCGAACACAATAGTTTAGTTAACAATTTGAGTGATGTCAAAACAGCAATTATAACCGAACATAATTGCTCGGCTATATTAAAATTTCAACAAAAAACACTAAGCGCTGGGGGCATGCCAGAGATAAGATGAAGTTTTTAGATCTCAATAATAAAGCTCAGGGCCATGGCAAGCACAGGATGATGAAGCCGAAGCTTACTTCCAAAGAGCTTCTGGCTAAGTATAAGAGGAGGTGGATGCAACGAGTGGTAATCGGCCTAACAATATCAAGCAATCAAGATCATCTCCAAAATCTAAAAGTTGGAATTGGTAAGGAGAGGAGTTCTAATCTCGCGGACCAGCTTATCCATATCTTCTAATCTTTGTCATTAGCAAATAAATTAAGGATTATTAGTATGTTATATTATTACTTAGTAATTATGATGGTAGCATTAGTTTTGATAAGTGCTAATACGTTGATTAGTGCATGTTTCATGTGCTAATTAGGATATTAGTGGTGCTAATTAACATGTTCCATTTTAAATTAGTGATTATCATGACAAAATTAGTATTAGTACATATTTATTAGTGTCTACTCCCTTAGGACCATTTTATTTGGCGCAAGAGAATGGCACGGTCTCCTAGATTACACTTGAACCATTTATTTGCTTTATATTATATTATTTATGTTTATAAACTTATAATAATTGGATAGTATAATTCCTTACAAATCTAATCATATAAAGTTTATATTATAATAGTTAAAAATTATTAGCCTAATTATTAGTCAAAGTTTTTAAAGTTTGAATCTTGATATGCGTGTGCGCTAGATAAAATGAAACAGAGGTAGTAATTAGTTGTTATTATTTTTAAATAATAAATAATAGATATAATTAGTCAACTATTCTCATCCCATCCACCATCATCCATCCAACCAAATAAAAAATGGCTCGTCCCAACCAACACATGCATCATGAATATCTTTATCTCAATATCCATAGATCGTCGTATCTCATTTAATTTCGTCCTCGAACCAAAAACACTTAGCACCATTTTACCTCCATCAACTATGGTACGGAGAGAGAGGCAAAATGGACTTATTTTTTAGAGGAATTTTCCTTCTACCCTTTTTCTAACGTCCACAATGACCTTCTGAAGGAACGTGGCCCAAGCCCAATAGATATTGTGAAGCCCAGCAAACGTGCTAGCGCCGGCGGGCCCTCACATCGCACCCTTCTCAGTCCTTGTCCTCCTCCCCTCCTACGCAAATCGGAATCGGGAATCCCCTGTCGGTCGTCGCCGCCGTCGTCTCCTGCCGCTGCCCGCCGAAACCCTAGCGGGTTGACGCCGGCGCTATCAAATCGAGGGTCAGCGCAGCCAATCAGTGCTAGCGGCGGGCAGGCAGATCGGCACGGACAAGTCGCTCTTGGGGGCGAATTGGACGCGTCTACGCGGTCAAATCCTAGAGGCTGTGCCCGTGCCGTACTACGGTTGTGGCCTGCCGGCCGGTGTTGCTCAGTTGCCCGACCGCCGGACAGGCGACGGCCGCCCGCGGGAGTCCGGCGGCCCGGGCGTCTGTCAGCAGCAGCGCAGCTGGTATTTGACATTTGAGTAATTGAGTGTTTTGCATTTGTTCTTACAACTTCAATTGCACAATGCACAACCCCCAATTCTTGATTTCTAGTATGTACAACGTACTGTGCGGATTCGTGGGCTCCGCCACTGTCTATATGCCACAATCCCCAGTTCCTGATTTCTATACTAAGCATTTGCTTGGCCCTCGTCATGCAAATTCACTGGCAACGCCACTGTCTGCACGCAGTGTCAAAATAATGCAAAATCCGTCGCATGTGTTATACATCAAGCCATGCTAATGCACATAACAGCAGACCAGACATCAACGCATAAGGCTACCATGATTTTCCTTCTTAAGCTGAATGATTCGGTTGAGACATATCTGACACTTGTGCATGTGCCACTCTTCTTGTGATCAGGGCCTGGATGCTGAACCAATGGTGTCAGGCGTCGGCTGCTCTTACCCTGTTACTGGAAGGAAGCGCGTAAAGTTGTTGGCAACCGAGTTGTCGTATAGTGAACCCCTTGTCTGTTGCGTGCCAATATGTGATGATTCACTGGGGGACTTGCCTGACCGGTACAAGGTTTCACTGAAATCGCATCTCTTCAGCCTTTTACCTTCCTTCTATTTCTATTAAAAAGTTACGTAGAGCTTTAATGCTTTCCTGCATGATTTATCAGGTGCTCTGAGCGGCATCACATGGCTTCCGGTAGTGGTGATCAAACGCAGAACACTGGTGTGTTTCCTGCAATGCAGGAATATGCCTGTTCCACTGGTAACAATGGTGTGGTTTATCCACAATATGGGATTGGCTATTCGTCTGGTCAAAATGGGGCACAGGGTGCATACTTGCAACATCAACATTTTGAAGGTTGCATGTATATGAGCAGGAACGGGCAGATGTGCGGACCTTACCCACCTGAACAACTGTATGAGGGGCTGTCCACTGGTTTCTTGCCTCGAAGCCTTGCTATCTATGCTGTTTTTGGTGGGAAAACAGCCGATCCTGTGCAGTTGATCTTTCTGAAACAATTCCTTTCACAATGGAATGTCGGTGCCATGGCTTCCACCCCAAATGCATCGACGGAGACAGAGAAAGTGGCTTCCCATGCTAAAATGGTTTTTCCAGATGTATGGCTTGCTCTTCTGTCTATATTTGTTCGTGTCATCCTTAGCTTGCTTGCCTTCCTGACTGCTTTGGTTCCTGCTTCCTCCCTGTTAGTCTCTTTCAAACGAAGAATCATGCTGGATGTTTGAGGATTCAGAAGGTTGCCGACAAGGGCCACATTCTCTTGCTGAACTTTCCTATTGGCATCACAATAGCTATATCCAAGATCTTTCAATGGTATGGAAATCAGATATGAAAATTCTCACCTTCTGGATCTCATTAATTCTTTGTGTAAGCAAAAAAAGTATGTATACGTGTAAATTATGACATTCTTGATTGCTTCTATGTAATGCAGCACTTCCTTTGTGAGTGAAACACTTTCCTATGATTTGGTCACATCTGTCAATGGCTCAAGAATATTATTAGGCTGTTGGATATCCTAATGTGTAATAGTTGGAGGAGTTTCTCTCTCTCGTTGAAAAAAAAACTCTTAAAATTTGGTTCATTTGTTGCCATGAGTTCCCTTGGCACTTTACGTTAGATTAGCATATCATAGTACAATATTATTATTTTCATTCTTGGCAAGTACTGTACAGACTATCTGGTAACCCAGCCAGGTTGAATAAGATTTACATGATGGATGAGAAAAACCGAGATAAGATTCTGTTGAAATTCATGGAAGTCTTCCCTGCCTTTTGTTCCTGATTTAAGATAATCTATAGACCTGATGTGCATCTAGATCCTTCACTCTCATACTACACATTTCCTCCTATCTCATGTGCCAACTTATGAAATAAGTTTTAATTTCTCAACATAGTTTACAATCTGATGAATTATTCTAATAATTTTACTTCAGATTTACCATGTTGATGGCAAATTTGGCCCATTCACACTTGTATCACTAATGGGTATGTGGAGTGGGGAACACAAAGAGCCTTCGGAAGCTACAGCTAACGATTCTGCATCATTGAATGGCTTAGTGGGTGACATAGTTGATGATGTTAGCCATCAGCTGCATTCAGGGATTATGAAATCAGCTCGCAGGGTTCTAATTGATGAAATATTCAGCTCTATACTTCCAGATTTAATTGTTTCCAAGAAGACTGAGAAGCAACTGGCTGCAAAACTGAAGAACCAAGTTACTAAGGTTTGTTTTATTTACGAGGGGTTTGTCTAAGGAGGGAGCTGCGTCTTACTTTTCCTTTTCAGCTTTTAATAACCTGCCCTAGTTGTGCTATTGTTTGCAGCCTGACAGTGTGAGCAACAAGAAGGATTCCACAATTAAGGTCAAAGTTAACACATCATCTACTGTTCCAAAAAAAGGCAACTCATATAATACTGCCCCAGTGGATTGTTCAGTGGCAATTCAATTTACAGCAGTGCATGGTAAATTTGCTGATATACTACCAGCAGTTTGGCAAACAGTTTATTATGAATCCATGAAGAATGTATGGGACGAAATACTGTCTGAACGTGTTATGGACTACTGTGATGTATGGTTACAGAGAAATTGTATATTGAATCTGCCCTCTACAAGTATTTCTGTCATCCCTGATGATAACGTGAAAGCCCAAGACAGTCATGAATTGTCACCAAAGGTGTTTTCACTGGGGCTGAACGTGTTTCTTTCTTGATAAGAGTGGTTTAGTGTTTTATAAACCTTTGTTATTATTTCACAGCTGATATGTTGTGATACTTTCATGGTTTTGCAGGATTTAGATGCTACTGAATGTGACATGGACTTTCCACCTGGATTTGGACCATGTAGGAAATCTCCTGAGAGCTCCCTCTCTCCATCCTTATTAGAAGTCAATGGAAGTGCTATGGATGGGAAGTCTGAATCAAGCACCACTTTATTTTCTGGCCCCTTAGCAGTAGTCCAGAGGATGCTGGCAAATGAACTATATATCTCATCGAAGCAATCTTTATTTCACTATTTTGAGGAGGTTATTGCAGAGGAGATAACAAATTGTTTATGCTTTGGACTCGAAAGCAGTATTGATCAGGTGAGCTGAAAGCAAAAAAGAATTTTTCCTGATTACTGCTAATACCCCTGAATTCCCACAATTCGTTTCGGTAAATGTCACAGGAACAAATTGGTACCCCTATTCACGCACCAGAATCACCCATGTCAGCCGAGACGTCTATGCACGAAACACTCAATCCTATTGAGATGACTGGAGGTGATGAACTGAATATTGTTGAAATGGCTATGACCACAAGAACCAGTCCAATTGAAATGGCTGTAGATGAAGAACTGAATACCGTTGAAGCTACAAGAACCAGTCCAACTGAACCGACTTCAGTTGAAACATCAACTGCTGCTGAAATGGCAACAGATAAAATGCCCACTTCTCATGGTAAATGAGCAGCATCCTTCTGTTATGTTCTTCCATTCTTACCTGTGTTGTGCTTGATTGCATTTTTCTTATTCCCTTGTAAAGTGTGTGCAGTGGAAGATCACCTATCCATGTCGTATGCGAGGATATTTGAAAAGATGGATATATGTAAAACAGCGGAATTGGATGAGAAATTTGATGAAGTGCCTCCTGGAATGAAGACTGGCTTAGTCCCTTTACCACTTATGGACAAAAACATATGTAGACCTTCAAAATCAATGAACTCTATTCCTTTGATTTCTAGATATATAACTTTGGCTCTCTGCCGGCAAAAACTACATGAGAATGTTGTGAGAGAGTGGACATCTCTCTTCTCTGATACAATTAGCAAGTGCTTGGGCTCATGGTACACCAGGAGAAATGCTGTAACTAAAAGCGCAGATGGATCATCAAAACTCAAAGAAAAAACATACTACAGGAAGAGGAAATTTGAGAAAACATGTCAATCAAAATCATCAAAAAAACCAGTGGAAATCTCAATGGATGAGCAGCTTTCAAAACCTCTTTGTCAGCTTGTTGACCGCAAGATTTATGTGAAAAATATCCAGGAATCAAACAAAGCTTTGACATCAAAGAAAGTTTCATTTGTGGACAAGCCCTCCAAAAAAGGAGCCAAAGCTGTGGCTAATGATGCTCATGATTTGAATATCCAGCAAGATCTGACACTCCTTTCCAGTGAGGTGCCAAAAGGTAAGTCTTTTGATCTGTTTCTTCTTCTGATACATAGGTTTGTATATATTTGTGATATGCCTTTCCTTTCCAGGAGCCAGGTCATCTCATCCAACTAAGAAGCACATGGTTGCTAACAGGACACCTACGGGGAATGATAATGTGGCGGATAATAGTATGCTCACGAAACATGTCAAGAAAAAAAAGGGCAGGGACATTCCCAGTGAGACCAGTCAGAAGGTAAAACTGATGATCTCATGCCCAGAATCAGATGGCTGTGCTAGAGTTTCCATTAATGGATGGGAGTGGCGCAATTGGGCGCGAAATGCTACTCCATCAGAAAGGGCTCGTGTGAGAGGGTACCGTGTTCGGACTATTCTTTCTGCCTCATCAAATAATAATGTGTGGAAAAATTCTCAAGCAAAGGTTTCATCTGCAAGAACAAATCGGGTTAAATTGCGAAATCTGTTAGCAGCCGCTGAAGGTGCTGAGCTGCTGAAAATTCCCCAAATGAAGGTAAAACAGAACTATATATTCTGATTCTGAAATTTCTGTTTATAAGTGGTTCTGATGATTCTCATTTATTCCTTTCTCGATGTGTAGGCAAGGAAAAAGCGCTTGCGTTTTCAGAGGAGCAAGATCCATGAATGGGGTCTGGTCGCGCTTGAGTTGATCGAAGCAGAAGACTTCGTTATAGAATATGTTGGTCAACTGATTCACCGGCGGGTAATCATGCATTATTCAATCAACCATTGTTTCACTGACATGCTTGTTTTGAGCAACGTGTTAAAGAATGATTTGTACCCTATAGGTCTCTGACATACGTGAGTCTCAATATGAGAAGAGTGGGATTGGAAGCAGTTACCTCTTTCGCTTGGATGATGATTTTGTGGTGGGTGATGCAGATCATTCCTCAATGCAGTATTGCTTTGGTGTCTTCATTTTTTTTCTTTGATTACGAAATAAGAAACTTATGTATTATCTCAAGGGGTACAAAATAAACAAAATATGTGAAAATGGTTAGCTAGAGCATAAAGGAAACCTTTTAGTTGGTTGGGAGCCGTGCTATTATTATTTTTGAACAAAAAACACTGGGGCACTTCTTGACAGAGTGCCTACTTCTTTGGATGGATGGTAATGGTAAGACTGCTATAGTGCTATGTAATCTCAAGCTGCAACCAAAAAGAAAAGGCTGTCAGTTTTTTTATTCCACCTTCTGTTTTTCGTTCTAGTGTTCATTGCCCAAGTATCTTAATTTATGCAGGTCGATGCCACTAAGCGTGGTGGGTTAGCAAGGTTCATAAATCATTCTTGTGACGTAAGTGTTCAAGAAAAGATTATTCAATTGCGATGCTTGTAAAATGCTAAGTAGTTGTTTCATATTTTCCATGCCAGCCAAATTGCTACACAAAGGTGATCACTGTTGATGGCCAGAAGAAGATTTTCATTTATGCAAAGAGGCGTATATATGCCGGTGAGGAAATTACATATAATTACAAGTTTCCATTGGAGGAAAAAAAGATACCTTGCCATTGTGGTTCTCGGAGGTAAATCTGCTAATCACTATACAGGAAGGCTGAAGGCTTTTGTTTTGTCAATTGAGATCTATTTCATGAAGATAATGTGTTTCAAATGGTGTTACGGGTATTAAGTTTGGCCGCCCTTGTAGTCTTATCGATGTTATTGGTACTACTTGCATGTATATACACAATATAAAAATTTGGAGCCAAATAAAATGATTTCCTTACCAAACTGTTGATGATGCGAGATTAGAATACTTGTATTGATGCCAATTTTTGTTTACCACTGCACTATGGAAAGCATGCAGATATTCCATCACCTCTATCTATGCTTATCCCATTTTGCACAGCAGTATGCAGACACACAAAGTAATTATTTTCATGTCCTGAAGTAACTAAATTGTTGATATCAAGCTCTAGAAATATTGAAATAATAATTTAAATAGTGCATATATGAAGGTAAACATTCAGATGTTAATATCTTCTGCATCCACATGAAATACTTTTTTTTTCCCCTAAGTGACTTGTCTTCCTCATAGTCATGGTTTTGCTCAGGAATGACCTGTTGTGTTTCTATTTAATTAATGTAGCAATTGAGCACTACCATTGAGATTACTTCTGTTTTACTCTACCTTTTTATCCTAACTATCCACTGCTTGTTTAGGTGCCGCGGATCAATGAACTAAGAAGGGCATCTTTTGAGGTAATTGCAGCACTTATGATTCTTGGCTGTGTGGAATTCATTAATCATTTCATATAGTTTTTTTTGCAGTATGAAATTCGTAGATTAGTTTTGATATCATTCTTTGTCATGTGCTCAGATATTCTTAACACAAGTTGAACTTTGAATGCTGGATTTTAGTTTCTAATAGCTTATTGAATCCTATGGAACAAAAGATCATGGGAATTTGCAATAAGATATATCTGCAACTATATTAATCTTTCCAAGATATCTAACACAATATTACATTCCTATGGAATTGATGTCATTAGAAGCCATTTCTTACAAATTGGGCATCCTCAGTATTCTTTTCGAACAAGCAACATGGGACAACTTCCTTTGGATTGAAATTATTTAAACATATTTGAAAATTCGTCAATCCAAAAGGGGCCCAAGGCTCAGCCAAATTTTAATTGGTATATATTCATTGCTAAATGTTGAATTGGAGATGGGGCATTTAACTTGTCAAACTGCCTCCAATTTGTCTTGTGGTTACTGATAATTTATTTTTCAGGGATTAAACTAGAATTGGTATATATGCATGATTGGATTATTAAACTGCATTAAATATTCTAAAAGTCATCTAGGATTGTAATTATGATTGATGCCAGAGCATTTATGGTACCTACATAATTCCATGGACATGTCAGTCACCTGGGAATCTCATCCTGTGTAGTTCATTGTACAGGCTTTCATAGTTGCACCCTCTCTTGGTATTTCTGGGCTGAGGATTCCAATTGATAAAATCAGTTATTTTTTCGGACTTGCAAGAATTTAATGTCCTAGATATTCTGTAGAAATATAATTGACCATTAGCTGCAAATTTGGATAGGGGGATGGAGTGATTCTTGGTGAAATTGTTATAATGTAAGTTGAGATCTAATATCTTGGCTAGTGAAAGCAACGCCTACTTCCCATTTTATTGACAAATCACCTGATAAGAATAACGACCATCTCTACTCTGTTGACCAAGCCTTGGTGCTGTTGCACTACATAAAAACATGCAACAGCTTGCACTGTGGACTTGAAAAAGACTTGGTGGTGATTCAGGTGTTCTGTCTACTTTGCAGGATTTATATCGATATCAAAGTATGGAGTGCACGAACATGCTGGACAGCAAGAACAAACTGCGCATTATACTTGTTCAGACTAATTTCAAGTTACCCCAAGGATGGTGCAAGAGGAGGCCCATACAGTATCATGCTCTGCTCAGCCTTGTGGAGGTGGCGGGCATGGGAAATCAGTTGAGGATGGGCTGAGCTAGTAAAGGGTTGTTTTCTGACAAGGTCAATACTATTGTTTTTTTGACATACCTGGGTAGAGTTGCAAACTCTTGTACAGGCGCAGGCTTACTTATTACATTGTTTGGATTGAGGATATAGTTCACATGGTGGATATGAAACGGTTAGATTGGTTTACCTTTTAAGTATTTATTATAATATTATAATTAGTTATTAAAAAATGGAACACACGAACCACTAGTTCTTGTAATACTTCCGCTGCTTTTGTGAAGGATGTTATGAGCACCAAACTGAACTGAATGGATACCCTGCTCCTGTTGGTCTGACTTGAATGGACGGGCCCTATTTGATCTGGATGCATGGATGGCAGTGTGGGCTGGATGACCATTTGCTGCTATAGTACATCCTGGAAATAAATCATCTATTTTCCACCAGGGTCTACACGTTTTGCAGCAGTCTGGAGTAGTTTTTGGTTTTAGCCACTTCATCCATTCCAGTGGCGTGAAAAATATCTATTTACTGCACCCTCCATTTGGCGTGTCACTTTATGCAAATCCTACTCTATGGTAGTGCACTGGGGGTGCAAGTTATCTTTCTGTAAAGCGGTGCAAGTGTTTATTCATGGACCTACTGTTCTTGCATGCAGGTACCAAATCTGCATAGGCTTGTCGATTCATCCACGAGGTATGCATGTAGGCGCCCACGAATTTTCCAAATGTGTGGTATGTGTTCCATCTCTATTGGTTGTCTATATGCTTTCTTCGTGCATTTTGATATAACACTAGAACTGATAACTCACATTCACAAATACTCATGTTTTTGTACAAGATCCAGCCAAAGTTTTAAAAGTTTTATTTTATTTGGAAACAAAAAAAAAACATGTGTAGATTTGTCTCGAAAAGAAACATAACAGTCTCATAAATCTATTAGGTTTTATAATAAAAATCACATGTACTGAAAACATATATGATCTCATAAAGCCACTGGATTTTGTAACATACTAGTACAATAGAAATACAAAGCAAAGCAGTGGTCAAAAGCATCCACCGGAGAACATGTCATGTCACGTATTTTTAATCGCATGCAGCATTTCTCTTTTACCATGAAAGCTCGGACGAACGGTGCCTCCTGATTCACACTGTTTTGTGTTTAGCCAGAGGATTAGGTTTGGCAGCTCGGACGCATGCGTGCAAATGGACTAGGCGACTAGCTACCGATCATAAGTGTTGGCTGCCTACGCAATATGGCCAAGGATTAACCCAAAAAAAAAAAAAAATTGCATGGGTTGACAGGGTTGTGATGGAGGCATCAGCTTCTTGAAATTTTGACTACCATGAGTGAAGTCTTAAAAGTGACAAGGTTGGTTTTAGCGAAACCTAACAAGGTTTTACACGGGCAAAGGCCGAAAACAAGCAGTCAAGTGCAATCCAAGAATGAGGTCCTACGTTTCTCTATCATGTTTTATATTCGTGGCAATTGAAAGAGAGCAAGGTTAAGCGATATGGATAGGTGCACCACGTATTTTTGCTCCCTGCAATGATACATTGATTAGTTACATCACAGCTTTAAGCTCTTCACAACGTAATTGAAAGAGAGCAAAGTTAAGCGTGATGTATATTAGTAGTTCTAACTTCTGGGAGGCAGGGTGTGGTCATTTAGATGAAATTTGAGTTCGGCTTTTGGGCCTAGATGTGATGAATTTCTTCCTGGGCCTACCTCTTGGTCATTATTCATTGGAAAGAAGAAAAATTCCTTACATGCCATTAGCATAAACCTAAATCCCTTATCTGCAACCTAAAATTACACGATTCTCATATATGTAATTGGTGTTAGATTGTAATCCTTTCATATCAAGGTAATTGTCTAAGTATATCAACATCCGTATGTCACTATTGCTCCTACTAGTCGTCCCCAAATCGCAAAGGTAGCCAATAATGAGCAAATGGGTGGCTCAGTGAGAAAGGAGGTGGTAGAGTCGTAAAGATGAATCTTTGTTTGAGGAACATGTGCTGTTTGCTGCTAGGCTGTTGGCTATGTGAGTTGCTCAGTGTGTGGGCGATGTGGCCGCATGGTCGCTAGCTGCTATTGCTCGAAGTGCTGATTGGCTATTATAGTGCTACTTTTTGGTTGTGAGCGTGGCAGTGGTTGTGGAGGGTAAGCCCGGTGGACACTCACATGTACCTAAGATCTTATGTGAATAAGATCCTTCCAAAGTTCCAAGGTTGCATTAGTACGATATAATCTACATCATGTGCTCAGTTGGGAGCATAAATAGGGAGCAACTAAATTTGTGTTCAAGTGAGAGGGTGGGCAAATTGATCTTTTTGTTGTCTATTAGCTAAGACTAACAGAATATGATCAACAATGACGTGAAAGAGATTAAAATTTATAGATAGTGCTACTAGCGGGATTTGAGTTTTTTTAGGTGACAAATCAGGGATACTGGTTTTAGCCAATGACATGTAGAAAAATTTCCATCACATGAAGTTAGAGTGTCGAAGGTACCTTATGTTTGGGATACTTTAACCATTATTTTATTTTAGTACATTTATAAATCTAGTAAGTAGGAGTATATAAGATAGTAAAAGTACTTTCGAATAGAGATCTATATATCTTAAAAGTTATTGGTATTTAAATTTTCACAAACTTGACCAGATCTTGTCCAAAAGGGACCGGCTGAAGTATTATTAACAGCCCCTTCGTTTCTGAATGTATGATGCTATGACAAGATAATTGCTTTATTTTTGAACTAATTAGCTTGTTCTAAACGCTATATGTTCTCTCCATTTTAAATTGTATAAGCTGGTTTAGTTGTCATAAGTCGAATTTCTCTAGTTTTGATCAAGTTTATAGAAAATATATTAACATCTACAATATCAAATAATGCACTATTAAAATATATTTTATGGTGTATCTAAAGAATCTTGTTTGATGTTATAGAGATTTATCTATTTTTTTATATACTTAGTCAAAGCTATAGATGTTTGACTTAGAATAAAGCTAAAATCACTTATGATTTAAAACAGAGGAAGAATTAAAAATGGAGAGAATACTTTTTTTATTTTAGTATTGCTTGCATAATTTAACAAAAATACCACGACGAATGACTTGACCAAGGGGTGTGGTGCGCCATATTAGCCTTTATATTTGAATTTGACTAGAGAGCAAAAAGTCACCTATAACTACCTATGTTCTAAATGGTAAGTCTGTTTTCGTTTTTGTAGATATATAGTTTTTACCATGTATCTAGATGACGTAGATCCACGTGTATAGCAAAAAAAAAAATGTATTTAGAAAAGCCAAAATAACTTATAGAATTTTGGATGTAGGGAGTACGCTGCTTTTGCTTATGTGTATGCCCCCGCTAATGCTTGATCGAAACAACGTAGATGAGCCTGGAGTCATGTTATTGGGCATTTGGTTTATGGGCTCTAGAGCTAATTGAACAGGGGACCCTGATAGCTCTTAAGGCCCCCTTTGGAACTAAGGATTCATACAGGAATTTTGTAGGATTCTAAATCTACAGGAATCATATGTGGTCCTTTGGAACAAATGATTGGCCATCCAGAAATTCTACAAAATTCCTATGGAATGGCTCAATGCATAGGTATTCTAGAGGAAATCTAATACGCGATCCAACCTTTTGGAAACTTTCCTTTGTGTGTCTCTCTCTCTCTTCTAATTCCCTTGTTTCCTGTGTTGTATCCAAATGCTCCATTAGAGAATTTCTTGCGTTCTCAATTCCTGTAGGATTGCAAGTGACATACAACTCTGGTCCTATGTTTTTTCTATTCCTATGTTTTGATATCCTGTGTTCCAAAGGAATCCTAAAGGGTTTTATCTCTTTCCGCCTCTTTATTAGTTCTAATAGGTCTTTCTTCTTTTAGTTAGGTCCATTATTGTAGAAGTGAAGTGTGTAAAGGCTAGTTTTCTTTTAACCGTCGAATGGCAATGTAAAAGTACATACCAAAAGGACGTGCCGGTGTATACTGCTATCTTTGTTGTAAGTACTGTAATATATACGAGAGGCAAACAGTGCATCAGTGTGTTGGTTTGTATTGGTGGTGTATATTTTATTTATTCGTCATACCAGCAGCTCCAGCTCCATGATCCATATAAGGTTTCAGATCAAATATACAATAGAGCTGTTTAAACAAACATATACATTTACTAAAAATTTTTTTACTGAAATTTCTAAGCTAGTACCTCTTCTTTTCTTTTTTGAAACTGTAAACCAAACACTTTTGACATGGTAACTGCTCTGGATTAAAAAATTTCTCGATATTGAGTTGAATACCTCCGAATTCATATAGTATATATACCAACATTAAAGAGCGCAATGATTGGTTCGCCTATTATTTTGACTGCACCTTTTGGAGTCACCACCACGTGGATTTGTAGTGGAAGTTTGGCATTTGTATGTAAATAAAGAAAAATGTACGGCAATATATGTGACGACAGCACGTGGCTATCGACTCCATTGGACTGCGAGTGCGGTTAGACGTGTGGCCGCATTTACCATATGCATGGGCTGGGCTGGGCCAGACCCAAAAGGCCAGACAAATACTGGACTGGACCTGGAAAAACAGACAGAATCGTTGGGGAGGCTGCGATCGAGAACGGCCCGACGGCCTAAATGGTCGGCACAAGTGCAAAGATTGATACTTTCTACCGAAGGTTCTGTTGGAGCCAAGTATACCAATATAGTATGCTAACTAGTACGTACTCCATTGGTTCCAAATTATAAAACGTTTTGGTACTTCTAAATACATAGTTGATAGTTTTTATTAGTATCTGCGTAGCAAAAGCTACGAATTAAAAAAAAAACTAAAAAGTCTTATAATTTCGAATGGTGAGAGTAACAACTAATAGCTACTTCCCCGTTTCTAAATAAATAATTTCCTAGGTTTATCTTAAATCATTTTTTATCTTTGATCAAATTTATATAAAACAATATAAATATATCTGAAACTAAATGAACATATTGTAAATTTTATTTTTGGAGTATCTAATGATAT